TTAAAACGACTGCAGCATAAAATACTAAGCTATATAAGGACAATAGGAAAGCTTGGGTGAATTTCTTTAAAGTCCAGGAAATGTTTTCTCACTATGACTCAAAATCTAGATACAAGTAAAGAAAATATTTATAAAAATGACTAAATAAAAATCAGATTTGGGCATTTAAAGACAAAATCATAAGCACAGTCAAAGGTAAATCATAACTGATGAAAAATATTGGTAATATTTATCACAAGACACATATATTTCTAATACACAAGAAGCTTTCAAAATTGAGAACCAAGGTCTAAAAGTCCTGTGGAAACATGGACCCAAACCATGACTGGAGAATTCATTTTAAAAAGAATTAAAATTGTCAGCCTCATTCGCACTAAGGAATGGAAACGTAAAAACTACAGTAAGATATCATTTCTCAGCTATGAGACTGGCAAAAAATTGAGAGTTCACAAGACATTCTGTCGGCAAGGCTTTGAGAAACAGGTGCTATCATATGTTACTGGGGAAAATACAGGTATTTTCTGCTTTGGTAAAGTATTTGACACCACCCAAATGCCCGTACATACCCAATTCCTTGAATGTACTGGGGTACCTACACACAATGGAATAGTAAATAGCCATAAAAAATAGAATTAGTATCCATGAACTCATGCAAAGCAATTTATAAACTATATTAAGAGAGAAAAACAAAGTTCAAGGAAAGTATACTGCATGGTACTTTTAGCGTAAGAAAGAGGAAATTAGGAACCATACCTACATTTGCTCACTTTTGCAAAAACAAACATGGGAAGGATCAAACTACTGGTTTCTTGTAAAAGGTAGGGGGAGAGCACCGTGCGAGAGTTGGAGAAGGGAATGACGTTCTCTTAATAAAACTTTTGGAATAATTTAGACTTTAAAAGCATAGAGAAGATATACACATTCAAAATATGCAATGAAAACAACAGAGGAGAAAGAAATAAACCAAACTAGTGTTCAATTGAATGCCATGAACAAAAGGGACAAAAACGTTATACAGGTAACTTTCGATCATAGTACTTTGATTATATTCCCTTTCTTTGGGGATGCACAGAATGCAAATGAATCTTAATTGCTTTTTGCTAGATTTTTGGACTGCTTTGCATGTTATAGTGCTGAAACTTTTATATTCAACATGAAACTGGGAAAATGAGTTTATAAATGAGTTCCTGATGTCAGGAACCAGGAAAGAGAAAAAACAGCTATGGCATAGAGGACAAACAGAGGAAATCTGAGGGAATGGAATGAAATTGGAGGCATCAATGTGAATTTCTAATACTCAGGCGCACACACATGTATTTCCTACTCTTGCCCAATGAATCATCATTATACGTGAGTAGCAAGAAGACCTAGTACGCAATCCTTGTTTTTTAAGTATCATTACATCCTAAAAAGAGTAAGAACTCTTAGAGAAATGCCGGATTCCAAAGCTAAAGAAGGGAATGCACGAATTGAGAATGATGTATGTCATTGTGCCAGAAAGGAAGTACTCAAGATAGGAAAAAACGATAGAGGCACGCCAGAGGAACACAAAAGCCAGTTTGAATGGACTCAGTGAAATCTGGGACAATTTGAGAATCAAAGTAATCGGTTACCCAGTTAGTAAAATAGTAAGCCCCAAGTTCATACTGATAATTCAAAGAAAAAAAGGAAGGGCATCTAGAAGTCAAGGTGGTTGAGTTGGGAAATCATCATTTTGCAATTAGTATTTAAAAGATTTCTTGCAGCAGGAATGATCATTGGATGCTAACTCAAAGTGTGTCTTGGGGAAGGGGTAGTTGATGCAGAACAGAATATTTATATGCTCTTAAAGAGGCTCCCTACAGGTGTTTTATTAGTTGCAAGTAAAAAACAAAACAAAACAAAACGACTATTCTCCCCCGTGCAGTGGAGAACTTGAGCTACTAGGTAACTGGATGGTCTAAGTTAACATCACCAATGGGGGCAGACGTGGGTGGTTCCTGGTGTGTTGGATACCTGAGAAGGACACAGCCCTTAGATAATGTTCTGGCCAGGGGTCTGTATCCTGAATTTAGTCATTAGGAAATAGCAGATAAAGCCAAAGTAAGTGACATTGCAAAAGAACTTTCTGTAGTCCTCAAAAAATATTAGTATCACCCAGGCGTGATGGCTCACATGTGTAATCCTAGCACTCTGAGAGGCTGAGCTAGGAGGATTCCTTGAGCTCAGGAGTTTGAGAATAGCTTGAAAAAGAGCGAGACCTTCCTCTACTAAAAATAGGAAAAAGTTAGCCAGATGTGGCTGGTGCCTATAGTCCCAGCCACTGGGGAGGCTGAGGCAGAAGGATCATTTGAACCCGGAGTTTGAGGTTGCTGTGAGCTAGGCTGATGCCACAGCACATAGTCTGGGGCAAGAGAGTGAGACTCTGTCACACAAAAAATATTAAATAAAAATAAGAAAAGTCAGTATGAAAATAAGTAATAGAAAGCTGTCGAATAGTTTCAGGATACCTAAAAGACATGACATCTGAATACAGTACATGAACCTGGACTGGCTTCTGAAGGGAAGGAAAAAGTGCTATAAAGAACTTGATTTGACAACTTGCAAAACTGAAAAGAAATATTTATATATTTGTTAAATTTCTTGAATTTGCTAACAATATAATATCACATAAGAAAATATTCTTGGGCAGCACCCGTAGCTCAGTGGGTAGGGTGCTGGACACATAAACTGAGGCTGGTGAGTTCAAACCCAGCCCAGGCCAGCTAAACAACAATGACAACTGCAATGACAACAACAACAAAAAATAGTCAGGCATCATGGCAGGCACGTGTAGTTCCAGCTACTTGGGAGGCTGAGGCAAGAGAATCACTTGAGCCCAAGAGTTTGAGGTTGCTATGAGCTGTGACACGACAGCATTCTACCCAGGGTGACAGCTTGAAACTGTCTCAAAAAAAAAAAAAAAATCCTTGTTCTTAAAAAGTGAAAATTGGGGACAAAAAGGAAGGAAAAATCATATATATACATATATGATAGACATATATGTGTGTGTTGTGAACACACACATTATATTAGTAGACTAGAGAAAGAGAAAAAAAGATATTGAAATCTTGTAAATGTATATGGGAGTTTTCTGCATTATTTTTACAACTACTTTTTTTGAAACTATTTTAAGACAAAATTTTTAAAAACCACAGCTATATCTCTGAGGGCAGTAAATATTTGAAAGTTGGACCTTTGAGTAGGTTTTATTGTTGCAAGTGAATGACTAGAGGTAATAAAATACGGAGCTACATTTTTCATCTCATCTGTCTTGAAAGCATCTTAGTTGAGCAGATATTAGTTTCATTGTGTTGTATAAATGAAATGCATTTGATCAAATATTACAGTACTAAGAAAACCTTACTGCTCTTTTTAAAGAACCAAAGCCTATGAAGCATTTCAAATGCATTACTAAACATCTTCTAATGAACTGGTAAAGTTGGGCTATTTTATGAGCTATTATTCAAACCAGCTATTTCCCTAATAGAAATTCCCTAAACAAAATCTTGTCCATAGTCTTCCGGCAAGCTTTTTTATATCCCATTAATAGCGAATGGGATTTCATTATCGTGTATTTTTATGCAAACTTGGATTTGAAATGTAAAGTGGTTATTTAAAATCCAACCCAGATAGAAGAGAATGAGCAATAACAGACCTTCCAGCCCCTGTAGACATGCTTTGCTTCTTTGTATTTGTAGAAATTTTACTAATATTGTTCGATCAAAACATATTCTTTTTACTCAGGTTTAACATGAGATAAATCTACATCTAATTTCCTAGGCAATTTCACATCCATCCTTGAGCTCTTGAGGCAGAATACTCAGGGTAGGCATGTGCATCCACTGGGAAAACAGATTTGGCTTGATACTTCCTTCTCGTAAATCTCACCACTGAGCCTGTCAGCAAACCACTTTTATGAAATAACTCAAAGTGGCAATTTTACACAAACAATTCCCTGACTAATCACTTTACGTTAAAAAAGTTAAACATGCCAACATGAATGTAAACTTCCCTAACAGTATTTAAATCAAGTAAGAATGTCATACAATATTATGATGGGGGCCTGTTCCGAGTTTTCTGGATCCTATGATTCTTTGGGGATGTTCTGTTTTATTTTGTTTTGTTTCCTTATTCAACTAGGTAATATATTTTCTGAGCAATTAGGGATGAAAAGTAAATACCTTACCAAAGTAATTAGATTAGCGGTTACCAACAAGTATTTGAAGAATCAAGTATAGAAATGTTATCCTCTACTCAATGCACTTTGCTAATGATAAAATTATGCAAAGAGTAATTTTAGAACTTGGTGCAAAAATTCAATTTATTTATGGTCAACTAGCAAAATAAGTAAATTAGAATGAATTCATTTATGGAATAAACAATGGAATTTTTCAAACACGTATAGAGCTCGAAAGAAAAATAGAATACATGCTCTAGTTTCAACAAAGATTAATTTCTAGCCTGGCTTTGCATATCTAGATGCCTCCACCCACCACCTCCCTGGATTATTCTGAAGGAAATCCAGACTCCGTGTATTTCATCTGCAAATACCTGACATATATCTCTAAAGGATACAGGGTCTCTTTAATATCATAACCACTATATCATTATTGCTCTGAATAATTATTCAATATTATAAATATGAGAAGTGAATTAGCTTTTTTTGGATTTTTTTTTTAGAAGCAGGGCCTCACTCTTTTGCTAGTCATAGCTCACTGCACTCTCCAACTCCTGGGCTGAAGCAATCCTCTCTCCTCAGCCTCCCAAGTGGCTGGGACTACAGGCATACATCACTATCCCTGCCTAATTTTTCTTTTTCCTTTTTTTGTATAGACGGAGTCATGCTATGTTGCTCAGGCTGGCATCAAACTCCTGGCCTCAAGTGATACTCTTGTCTCTGCCTCCAAGAAGGCTGAGATTACAGGCATGAGCCATTGTGCCCAGCTTAGAAGTAAACTTTTTTTTTTCCTTTTTTGTTTATGGATGCCGGGATCAACGATCACCAGCTGCCCAAGTTCCAAAAAATTATGCTTCTGAAATCTCTTGATGTGGATTCTGCACCAAGAGCAGTTGAGTTACCCCACATGTGCCACTCACAACAGAAGCCCTTTTTGAAGTAAACATTTTTAAAGAACACCACCAACCTACTAAAATTGCTAATTTAAAAATATGCTATATGTTCCTACCTTATGTCATGGACTATGTTAAGCACTACCAATGTAAAAATGATAATTGTCATAAAATATTTGTCTTTTGGATAAATAGGTAGACAGAATATGAAAGTACTATGGTACAGGAAATAACATCACATGCTTTTTGAGGGCAGAATGGTATATATACACCATTAGATGAGAGTTAAAGGGCAGAAAGAACTTCAAATAGGTGACACTCCATGAAAAGTTGTAACGCAGGCACAGGGCTGTGCTAGAGCCACAGAGACAATCTGCATATCTCTTCCCAATTTCACTTTCAGTACCATCATCACTTTGGAAACTTGGTTGGGCTGGGGGTATTTACACCACAGAAATAGGCAATTCTCAGAACTTTCCCTCCTGCCCAACAGAGAACTGGCTGTTAGACATTTATAGCTTAGTGATAGGTACATGAAAGATAAGATTTAAAAAAAAATCTGGCAAAGTACATTTTCGAAATTTTATTGATAAGGCATAGTGCCCATAGCACAGTGGTTATGGTGCCAACCACATGCACTGAGGCTGACAGGTTCAAACCCAGCCCAGGCCAGCTAAACAATAACTGCAATTGCAACAAGAAAAATAGCCAGGCATTGTATTGGGCACCTGTACTCTCAGCTACTTGGGAAGCTGAGGCAAGAGAATTGCTTAAGCCCAAGAGTTTGAGGTTGCTGTGAGCTGTGGGCAAGCACTCTACTGAGGGCAAGACAGTGAGACTGTGTCTCAAAAAAACAAAACAAAACAAAATTTTATTGATAAACATGATTGATCCATTATTTAGGATCTTTATTTGATTTTCAGTGTGACTGAAAGAGATGGTTGAAATAATTATCACCTCCTCACTGCAGGGAGGTGGAAGGGGCCCACTGCTGTGCGTGCCCCTATTAGAGTGAAATCTCTGAGCATGACAGATCCGCATACAAAGGCAACAAAAGAATAAGTTCCTGCAGCCCACCTAGGATGCCCACCCTAGATTAAGCTTTTCCAAACAGCAATTTAAGATTTGAAAAATTAATGCTGGACAACTCATGGGAACCCTGAGATTCTATAAACCTCACTTTTATATTTCACAACCAAATTAAGCCCTTTACAAAACTATTTCATGTCCTAAATCTTAGTTCACTTGACTCTATTTCATGGATTTCCCAAATAGCATGTTTTGAGAAGAAAATTTAGAAGGAAAAAAATTAGAGGTGACCATCCTCACAAATTTTTTTTTGCATTGAAAAATCTAACAAAATATGTGCTCTCTCTTTCTTGTTCTCTCTCTCTCTTTTTTCTCTTTCTCTGTCTATATCTTTCTGCATATAGATTCTTTGGAAAGAAATGGATTTATTTGGAAAAAAAATAAATGCATGGATTTCTTTGGGAAAAAATAAATGCTCAAATCAAAAAAAATCTAAAAAAATATGTGAGAAGTAGACAGGCTGAATTCCTCACAGACCTTCCAACTCAGGGTAAGGTACTCAGTCAGGGAATGACTATCCCTGTGTGGGGAAATCAGCAGTGCAGGCCGCTGAGACCATCAACTAATAGCTCAGGCTATAGAAGCTGAGATGTCTGCCTGAGGAGATGAGACTTGTTCTCCCTCCTCTCTCTCCTGCTTGCGCCATTATCTGGCCACCTCAGATGTTCCATGACCCTATGTCCCTGTTTAACCCCCTTCCTGGGGGCTGGATCTCCTGTTTGTAATTTTTAACCTTGACTGATAACCACTGACTACCGTGCATTCTTGCACATATACTCTGTCATGTACCTGATAAAAAAGACTCCTGAGAAGCAGAACAAGTGCTGCATTGTTCTCACACTGCCACCAGGCACATGAAACAGTGTCTGCCCTTACAGGCTTCTGGGCTTATGCGCTAAGCTTGGTATGTGTTTTGTGATTTCCCCAATGCTGTCTCCCTTGCGGACCACTGTCCCAGGTGGGGGTCCTTTAGATGCCCAACAAAAATAGTTCAGTATATATTTAGAAAACTTTTGGAAGGGTGCTAGAGTATTAGTTGTATAGAATTTGAAGAGGGAATATTGTTAAAGATCACTTTGGGCTGGATAATCATGAAGATAAAACATCATGGAAAAGTTTAAAGTATATCAGGAAGCAGGACCTTATAAGCGGATATTGGATGCATGAAATGGCAGAGAAGCAAAAGAACTGTTAGGATCAGATATGTAAAGGCAGGAGGAGACATAGTGCGTGTCTCAGAAATGGTTAATAATTAAGATTTAAGAATAGTAGAAGATAAAGCCAAAAAGTAACTTTGAAGCCATATCATAAGGCTTCAAGTTCAGAACAGTGAACTTGTTTTTTGTTAGTGGGCTTTGGGATATAATGAAGTGCTTTGGAGAAAGCTTTTCATGAAAACAGCTTTATTTATATGAGCATATCATGGTATAACCTACCCTAGATTTATTAGCATTTATATAGCCTAAGGCAAGATTGTAAATGGAGGACCTCCTACTGTATATCTAGTCATATAAAAGTATCCTTCTGCCTTGAAAAAATTCCTCCTTAATAATATGGAAGACTGAATTCTAATTATAACTTTTGTGTTCTTTAGATTTCCAAGCCCAGCCTTGGAACATGACCATATGCGATAGATAGTTCTTCCTCCCCTCACCACCTACCAGCCCATGTCTGCTTTATAACAAACTACAAGTGACCCACATTTTCAAATACTGTCTACTTTATTCTCCCATCACAAGGAAACAGCCAGCTTTGCCTCTAGGGTACACACCACTGTTATAATCAATTTCTACTAGTTTAGACTCAAGAAAAAGCTCTCCCAAGCCCTACAAGGGTAAGAAAGTCAACATCTCAAGTTCCTAAAGAATCATCTAAAAAGGAATGTACAGGCTCCAGGTGACTATACCCCTCCAACCCCAAGGACTTCTTAGGGAAAGTATAAGAGGGCTGCTGCACCTAAAGCTCAGGCCTGGGGCAAGGGTCCTCCCTGCCTGGGCCTAGTGGATTTTGATGTGCAGGACATTGTGGGGTTGTTTTTTGCTTGTTTGTTTGTTTATTTGTTTTTTTGAGATAGAGTCTCAAGCTGTCACCCTGAGTAGAGTGCCGTGGCATCATCGTAGCTCACTGCAACCTCCAATTCTTAGGCTCAAGTAATATTTTTGCTTCAGTTTTTCTATTTTTAGTAGAGATAGGGTCTCACTCTTACTCAGGCTACTCTTAAACTTGTGAGCTCAAGCAATCCATCCGCCTCAGCTTAAGCGATCCTCATGCCTCAGACTCCTGAGTAGCAGGGACTATAGGCACCCACCACAATGTCCAGCAAGTTTTTTTCCTGTTTTAAGTAGGGACCAGGTCTCTCTTGTTCTGGCTAGCCTCAAACTCCTGAGCTCAAGCAGGCCTCCAGGGTGCTTGGATTATAGGCATGAGCCACTGGGCCTTAATGATGTGATGAGTAAGAAAACAAATGTAATAACAGAAACACAAGTAAAGAAAATATTAGAATTAGTGTGGGAACAGTGATAGAGAAAAAATGAATGTGAAAATACTCAATAATATTTGGTATCTGAATATGCAGAGGGAGATCTGTGACAGAGAGGGGGGAACACAGAGGTTGTCCTTAGCTTTCAAGCCTGGGGAACTAGGGAAACACAGTTGCTCTTAAGGGAACACAGAGGTTGTCCTTAGCTTTCAAGCCTGGGGAACTAGGGAAACACAGTTGCTCTTAAGGGAGGAACCTGTTTGAAGGGAAAACAATGCATTTGAGAAAGAAATTAAATGCCGATAAAAGCTGCTCTCCCATGGTATTCTCCTGTAAGTATATCTAACTCTATTTTTGTGAGAGACCCAGATCTGTAATCCACCCTCCAAACCTTGAAAAGAATAATAGAAACTATTAGAAACTATAAATACAAATTATCTCATCAATCAAATAAAAATTATGTCCTATTTCATAAACACATATAGTCTTGCTATTTTAAATAAAATCATTTGGCTGAGCAACACTTTTCAGAATTTAGACATTGCTAGAAGGAGAAAGTGTGAGATTTATATTCCATTTCTTAATGACTCATTATGCTTAAGCAAATGGAAAATTAATGAAATTGTTGCTGCTGGTGACAGAATAATGTATCTAGTTCTTTTCTGAATAAAAATATCATTTAAAAATGGAAATAAAAATAAATGTAGTATCTGGTACCCTCTGATGTGTGAAGCTGGCGGAACACCCTCAGTATTTTCAAGCACATATAGTGACATGTTGACCACAGGTTAGCTCAGTGGACTGTTGGGAATAGTGTACATACGTAGGAAGTTAGAAGGGTAAGAAATATCCATGACTTCTTGTAAGAATGTTTCTGAAACCTGTTATTTTCCATGATCTGAAATCCTCACCATTCTAGGATAAGTCTAGAAATATATATATCTCTTCCTCATATATTTTAAAAATAATTTATGATTATTTAAAAAATTCACCATTATAAAATTACTAAATTATAATTAAAAAATTAACTTTTGGTTCATGTTTCATAATTCTTTTTGTTTGATAATACAATTTAAAATCCTTAAAGTTAAAAAAGAAATATTTCTCCAGGATAGCAAACCCATGTTTCTGAGGGAAATCAGTGCATATGGATGTGGGTGGCAGAAAACCTGCATTCTTCTTATGGAATGTCTGTGGAAAATGTTCCTTTCAAACCAACAAGTTTCCCCATATGGGAAGCAGGTTTGCAGCAAGGATGTTGTTGAGTAGACAGCAAGAGAGCCAGTGGGCCATCTGGAGAGCAGGAAACTGCCATCAGCTGATGCCGAGGGCTCCACTAAGCACAGGCACTGACTCCCAAAGACAAAACTCTTTTTGCCTATCTTGGCTTGTAAATTTTGAGTTATCTATGGCTTGACTTGTTCAAAAATCCATGCCCTTGTAGAAGAGTCAGTGAGTTTACTGTACTTAAGGTC